CTTTCCCTTTTTTTTTTACATTTTAAAGTTACCATGATCCATATCCCCAGCTACCCTTCTTTGTACAGTCTCAAGAACAAGAGTGTGGTGATGCACTGCAGCAAAGGCAAAATATTATTCCCTCACTTAGACTAAGCATAGTGCAGGCTGAACAAGTCCAGAGCAAAAAATTGTTCATAATGGGGAAGACTGAGAAAAGACTTAGGGAAGCATTCTTAAATTCAGTACTTACTTGGTTAATATGATGTGACCAAGACAAGAATTCTTATTTTTCACATGTAAACATGAAACCATTAAATACCGTAAAAATTTAATCATGATAAATGGTGTTTTCATTTACTCTTTAGAAAATTTTAGCCTCAGCTTCATTGCACTAAAAATGAAAAGAAAATGTTCCCTTTTCCCAGGTCTGCTAGATGATTACCTGCAGAATTTCATCTCAACCTCAGTCCTTAGAAGTATACCCTTCTTAAGTTGACTTACTGCAACTAGCAACCCAAAAACATTCACAGAAGGACTGTGAGTTTGTACATGTCAAAGAATCCCATTATTGACTTTGACCTCCAATTTTTTCTTATTGAAAACAGAGAATGAAAATCAGTGCTGAAGTTCACATATTTCAACTTAATCAAGATTAAGGTAATGTCCAGAACTATAGAGACACTGATCTAGACCTATCAGGAACAAGCAATGAGGTTTGGCAAAAAAAGTTTCATTCTGTTGTAAAGAATGAATAAAAATTCTTCAGAAACAGTGGATTTGGTTATTTTCCCAGCTACAGCTAGCCCAGAATTTATTCAGGAAAAATATGAAGATGAGATTTTAAGACAGTTGAAGGCAGCATGACAATACTGGAACTGCACTTGTTATGAAAAAGGTGTTCTATTTAGATAATTTTAAACTGAAAAGCAAGTATTTGGCATGAAAGGAAAGAACATCAAAGCAATCAATCAAATGCTATATTCAAAACTAGACATACACCAAGAGCAGAACTGCAGGTGAGCATGTTACGGTAAACAAGTACAGTTAGTCTGACTGGTAAGTTGAAACAAAGAAAAATAGTTAAAACTACTGTTGTGATAAACCCCTACTATTATCCTGATTGGCACCATCTCACTGTAATATTGTCCACCATTATTCACTGTTGTCTTTTGCATTTTAACTAAATTGTTAGGACTGAGGATCATTTTTTCCACTTATGTGGTACAGGACTCAGCACCATGGAGTCTGATCACTAACTGAAGCAGGAAGGTATCTGAACCATACAAATACGTAAGAAAGCCTAGGGCTCTAAAGAAATAATTTGATCAGCAGTAGAAATAGGAACAACAACTTGTTAAAAAAATTTTTAAACTAACCTTATTTAAGCAGCAAAGTCAAGTAAGGAAATGTTATATCAAAGACTACCTATGCAAACCTAGTTTTGTGAATGTGAACAATTCACAATATTGTGAGATTTAATTATGATAATGCACTATTTTCCCCATAATAACCCCACTTCATTTTGCACACAGAATGGATATACATAAGAAAATGGAGCCAAGAATGCACTGGCAATGAATAAGTTAATCTATTTCAAACCTCAAGCATTTTACCATCAAATCACACGCTTATAATTAAGGAGGTGAAGAAGAATAAAGTACCTGTCACCTCCACGAGTTTTAAACAGCAGACATAGATCTGCACTATAAGGTATGAAACTTTATGTTTATCGAAATGTAAAAATATCATGCAGTAGTTGATGGCACCTTCAAAGTTAGAAAAGTTAAACATCTCTTTTTTCAACATGTTAATAGTAGAATCATAGAAAATGAAGTCATTTCTAGTATTACTGTTCAAAAGTCAAACATAAGAACAAGATTAAGAACTTAAGCTTTTCACAAACATGCAAAAGAAAGTAATTTTAAGTTGAAAAGAAAAATGAAGATGATTTGATACAGTACCTGACTAACTCTATTGACTTCCTCCTCTTCTTCTTCAGCTTCTTCCCCAAAGGAAAGCAGGTTAAAATTTCTTTAGGAGGGAAAACACATTTTCCAGTGAAACTTGAAGTAGTGTCTTATTAACATTCCATAAAGTTGAAACATAATAATTTCATATTGTATGCAATTTTTGAAAAAACATTTTGTTCTGATAAATGTACCAATTTCAAACAATTACAACATGTTGTTTTGCAATAAACCATGAATATTTAAGGAAGCGTGTTCTATTCTAGTCCCAAGACAAAACAATCCGGATAGCTATGGATCACTTAGAAAATGGCAAGACAGAATTTAAGACATTCTGCCTTGACTAACTTTCACAGACTCTTAAGTGCTGACAGCTCTGAAAACAGAGCAGCTTTATTTTTTCATTTTTTTTCCCCAACAGAGCAACACTGAAATACCAAACACAAAATTCGCAAGAATCTGATGGCTCAGAAAGGCATCAAACGCACACATATTCACAGAATGTAATTATACCTTTTCTTTTTCAAAATTGTTTACACTATGTTGAAACCAGTCAGTTGCAACATGTTGTATTTCTGTCCAACAGAACTGACTGCATACACGCACTAAAGTTTAAATTACCTATTACTTTTCATTGCATGTTTATGACTACCAAATTTCATTCACAGAAACTGAAATTTCCCACTTCAAAACGCCTGTCTTTCGCTAAGTATTTCAGTGGGAAAGAAGTAGTACATGATAAGTTCAAATATCTCAAACAGCAGAGCTATGACCTAGTTATTTGTACGTACTAACTTCTGCATCATTTTATTCACGAAAAAATGATTGCATATTCTCTCCCATGGGAAAGGCTTAAGCTACTTTTTACCTTTGTCTTGCAACAAACTATCAGCACGCATGAAACAGTTACAGCTCAGCTGATGCACAGTAACCACTTCAGTCAGAGCAACTAGATTTGTAGACGGTTAGAAACAGGGAAGTAGGTTGTGCTAAGATTAGAGAACATTCCTCTATGCATTTTGGTAAAGCCTTGCGTTTCAAAAGCAGAAATAGAAAATTACCAAGCTGCAAATTAAAGGTGAAAGAAAATGAACTGACACTTATGTTGCATATATTTACTTTGTGCCTTTTACTTTGGACTTTTTTGTTTCTTCTTCTGGTTTGTCCTTCTTCAGCTTTTTATTCGGCCTTGGAACAATGTCATCAAAAGGATTAAACAAAACCTGTTGAAAAAGTAATATTTCAGACACATCTTTAAGAAGTATTTTGTTATAATTAAATGAGTCAATATTTTAAAACACGATATATAAAGCTTTCATACTAGAACACAGTTTTCTGAACACTATGAAAAAAGAATTCTAAAATTTCAAATTTCAAACCAGAACATACTCACCTCACTATTTCTTATTTTGTGTGGACTGAGAGGTCTCTCTTCCTTGTCAACTTCTACTTCAGCCAGGCGCAACATGTTATATATTGTATCCCCTGTAACCTGTCAAATTTATAAAAAAGGTTTGAAAGTCCTTGCCTGGGCTTGCAAAATGCGAGGCAATTATTATGTAAAGAATTTTGAAAATACAAATTATATAGGAAATACTGTAAGCATGTAAGACTTCTAAAAGACACCAAGTACAATGTACCAAGGTTAGGTTTTTTTAAATTTAACAGCAAAAGTTGAAGGAATACAGGTAGCTAAACCTGCATTTTTGAGAACATATGCAGGGGAATATGTCAAATTCTTACTGTGAGCTGTGAAAGAGGAAAACAAAAGAAACTATGGAAAAAAAATAGTTGGTTTGTTTTCTTTCAACTAAGCCATGAGAGTGGTAAATTCATCTTATGTTTTTCCTTTTCCCAATTTTCTGATTCTTCTTAGAATCAAAGTTACAAACAGAAATTTATGAAATGTCACTAGTATCAAATAAAATAAGTAAGACAGAGACATAATGGTAAGATTATTCAAAGGAAGTACAACATGAAAATGTAATTTATAAGAATAACAACAGCAAAGTAGATAATTATGGGAACAACCCATAGAAACATTTCTACCAGAGACTGGAAACAGAGAGAACAGAAGCAGCTTAGAAAGCAGAGAAATAAACTTCAAGTGTATGTAGCGGCAGACAACACTAAAATAGCCTTTGAATACAGAGAAACTTATAGTATCTTCGGTCAAACGCAAACTGGGATTCCATGTAGCAGACCTTTCCAAAGATTGTGTGCTTGTTATTAAGTTCATCTGCACGACCCAATGTAAAGAAAAATTGACTCCCATTATCATGGGGCCCAGCATTTGCCATAGCAACAAGTCCTCTTCGATTAAATCGCAATCGTGAGTGGAACTCATCCTGGCAAAGACAGAAGAGAAGACAATTTAAGAGATGGGCCGTGCTGGTATCAATAATACAAATGAACACATATAAAACATTCAGAGACCTTTGCTAAATGAGATCCAATGTGCGTAAACAACACATATTTCTGCATCTGGGTTTGCCACATACCAACACCTCCTCTTCAGTCTTCCCCCTCTCTATTTTTCCCTGTGAAGTTCACGCCAGTAATTTTATACATCTATCATAATATCAGAAGAGCTAGATTTAAGAACTCCTGATTCAAAAAGTCATATTTGAAACTACTGAAGCTACATGTGAAAGCAATTACTGCACATGTATAATGTTGCATTTCTAATATAAGGCTTGTTTTCACACAACCTAACACAGAAGAAAGTACAATTGATACAGAATAACCAAAAAGTAATACATAAGATATAAAGATACCTACCTTGAAGGGAGCTCCATAGATTGAATCTCCACCTGATCCCGTACCAGTGGGGTCACCTCCCTGCACTATAAAGCCAGGCACTACTCTGTGAAATATTGTGTTGTTGTAATACTCTTAAAAAAAAAAAAGAAAAAAAGAAAAAGAAAGAGGATATTAAATACATATAAGTGGTCTCAAAATTAAACTTTCATATAGATTATGCAGAGATCTCCAGAGACTGAAGTTCCAGAAAGCAACTACTATAACTGGATTCTGCTATTTCCACTGGGTTCCCTCCTCTTCCACTGTCTTGCTCAGTGTCACTATATCTCAACTACAAAGTATTTTGATGACATTTATGGAAAAAAGTTGTGTCATATGCTTCTGTTGCAAAAAACACTGCACATCACTGACAAGATGATGTTGATGAATTATTTTCTTTTCTGCTTTTAAATTTTATCACTGGAATGAAACTATCAATGTACGTAAGTTTAAAAGGATATGGTCTGTCCCAGCCAACACCTCACATACATTGTTAGCCATATCCATACACCCATACACCAAATTACTAGCACTTTCACTCACCAGAATGGAACATAGGTGTCACCTCTTTCACCACCTACACTGTATGCAAACCAATCATTTTCACAGAATGAAATATGTGGTACATTTTGCTCCCTAAGTTATCTTTTTTTATCTATGTTTCAGATACATGTTATGAGATATTAAGAAAACAAAAGGAATGAAAACTTGACTTTACTTGACATATATTTCTGGTTGATTTTTTTGAAAATAAATAAATAAAAATAAATCTGCAGCATGCTGCAAGACAAAGCAGGATCTGCAAATGTTGCAGTATAACTAGATGTATTAATGGATGATTACATGCTAGGATACTCACAAGAGAAATACTCAAATTTATTATACAAAGCATAGGATCCTACAGAGCAGTAAAACAAATTCAGAAAGGAAATAAAGTCCAGTTCTTTTACACTGAGGATAACTGAACTCTTAGGACTTACTAAGGGCTAAGAAATTGATTTACCATTGCAAAAAAATCTCCATATCTCCACATTAGGTATAAGAACATGGAACAGGCTGGATCCATGCTGGAGACACAAATCCTAGACTGCTATTTTTCCTTAACAGAGGAGGGCTAAAAGAACTCTTAACCACTCTATAAATGCATAAATGGGGTAATAGCACCTAGAAAACACGTAAAGGCACCAGGTCCTTCACAAATTCTTGTTACAGTTTCCCCAATGGGGACCTTCTCACTCTGGTAGCCACTACTTCAGTGAAGAGCATTACATAGCTTCCATCCAAAAAAAGACTATAGCAAATGAAACATTAGAAAGACTCATGAAAAAAATGAAAAGGTAGTAAAGATAGTGATATAGAAATGAGAACTTTGGAGGATGCATCATTGCCATTTAAAACATACATTAAAGAAGTAGCTATACTTTGGAAAGACTTGCTAAAAATAAGCCTTCCCAAGACTCTGACGTACAACTTTTCAGTAATACTATGTCACTTGCTACATTTGAGAAAACCATCTAAATTTTTTTTTTCCCCACACTGGGTTCCTTAGTAACCTTGAAAAACATTGTCAGAGTATCAGTTAATGTTTTCTAAATGTAAATAAATTAATTAACGTATTAAAATTGAAACACAGTTATGACCTCTATTTTACGAAAAAGGCACAAAGTTTGCATATGATATAATTTCAACAACTCCTATCCCATTCAGTCATTACCTTCCATACAAAGCTGGATGAAATTTCTACATGCTTTTGGTGCTTCTTTTGACCATAATTCTATATCTATATCTCCTGCTGTTGTTCTCAGCAAAACCTATAAAAATAGGTAAGTAGACCATCAGTTTTATTGTAACTTAGTTGCTGATCAAAGAATACCATTGCTGAGTTAAAAAAATACTTCTTACTTCATTTATATTAGTAACAGTAGTAGACATTGAAATGTGTCAGGTAGCTACTGTTAGTTTTAGATAGTATTGCCAGAACTTAAGGCACAGTCCTGAACTGACATGTATAAGGCTTCAAAGCCAATGACCTACTACCTGACACATGATAGAAACTTATGATACACGTTATCACTTCCATAATGAAACAACATGAAAAAAAAATTATGCCATAAATCTCCAAAGGCCACCTACCTCTTTTACAAGTAATACCATTAAATTCAGTGAGACTTCATAACAAAATTAAGAATCTAAGCTACACTCAAGAAAAAACTACTGCTCTGTCCACACAGCACACCTCGTGCTTTGATTCAGCTAAAGTTTTTAAGTGCTATATCACCTCAAACTAACTTTAACCAAACCACAGTCACACACATACGGTGTGCGAGGCATATCCTCCTCACCTGTTCCCTCGACCCCCTGCAGCACACAATTTCCTCACACACCCCCACTGAAAATCAACCGCAGTGCACAGACACCTCCAATCCACGCCAAGTGCACACCCCTCTCACCCGAATACCACCGCATGCGCGTAGCGCAGCCTCCTCAGCCGCGCTCCCCACGTACCCTCCTCGCCTACAAAGCCCCCACGGAACACAAAGTTTCCTCACCCGCTCCCACGAGGAGCGCACACTCCCCTCAGCAACAGCTTCCCCTCCACCCGACAGCCTGGCCTAGTCTGGCCTGCCCTTCGCCAATAGCTGCCCCTGCCCCCAGGGAGCCTCACCTTGCCGTTGGTGGGGGGCTCCTGGATGTAGATGTTGCTCATGGTCGGGAAAGCAGCGTCCCAGCAGGAAAACCAACAGCCCGGACTCAACGCTCGGCTACGCTTCGTCTCTAATACTCTCTACCGACCCGAACCTCCCGCCATCTTGGGCGCCTCTATGCAACCCAGGGAGGTAGGGAGGAGGTTGCCCAAGGCAGGAAGAATCACGAAGGGATGAATCCCTGGTCAGAATCTCTATGAGAGTAACCGAGGAAGAAATACCTTTCAGAAAGACCTGGAACCTTCTCCAGACAACTGCATTCTGTCCCTCTGGCTCCTGCACAGTTTTGAGGTCCCCCGTCTTCCCCGTGAGTGGCACGGTCCGAGAGTGC